TCCTTCTGAATTTAGTAGAAAGAATTGAGGAAAAGACCAAATCGAACAGCCTCTCTCGCCTCTCGCTATGTTATTGATAGGCCTCAACCCCGGTACGTCCGCCAAGTCGAATACCTCAGTACGGCCGAATAATTCACGTACCTTTCACATTGTTCTACCGACATGAAAGTTTAGTCATGTTCACTAAATCGTGTCGGATGTAATGTGGTAATTCTTGAGTCCTAGTGACATGAAACATGCCATCGGAAAGAGAAGTGTATGTCTGAGAGGAAATGGGGCAGAATATTTGTTCACTGTGACCATACCACAAGGGGAAGTCATCGCAACCGTTCAGGCCTTTTCCAGGAAGGGTCTTCCACATTTCCTTCTAGGAAAGCGAACTTAACGGCACCCGATCGGGTGGGGAAATCAATAAAATCCGGGAAAAGAAAAAATATTCAGTTTTTATATTTATATTTCCTTTTATATTATATGATATTCTTCTGCTTTCCTTGTTTTATTATCTATCTCAATCTTTGATGACTGAATTTCGTTTCCTGATTTCCTCAGCCTTTGAGTACTAACTTTTGAAAAAATTACTCCCTTGGCAGTGGTGAATGAAAAATACGAAATGTCATAATATAAATTCCGTTACTGCGCATGTGAGAAATAAAACCTTATGTTTCATGTCTCTTGACTCTCGTTTTCGGTCGCAGTTTAAATTGTATTATATTCTCAAGTAATGTTTTGCTAAAGTTATCCACTAAGTTTCGTTTGCTGACCATTTGTTCCGAAATTTCTTATTATATACTAATATAACATTTTAATGAGTAACCGTCCACCGCCGGCACTACCTTGCACTTCTAGGAGCTCCGTTCAAAAAACATCTGATGTCTGTCTGTTGCGTTGTAATATTAAAGTGTGTGTTACATCACAATACTAAACAGAATACGTTATTGCTAATATGTGCTATTTATAAAACTATCCAAAAGGGAATTTTGAATATCATGCATAAAGATATAATTTGATGTGGATATTTTGGATTGCCTTGAGCCACGGAAAACGCTGACTGAAGCACGGGATGTAGTTTGTAGTTTCGCGTCTGCTAAAAACACAGTAATGATAAAAAATATTTGTAAGAATAACATAGTGAGGGAATGAGGATATAACCAAGCAGTTACTCGGTCCTCCTGTGTTTTCAATGTCTAACAGGACGTGATAAGCTGGCGTCTACAATTACTAATTTCTTCGTTTGAAAATAGAGTAATATTAGTCTTTAAAACTGCATATGTACATTGAAAACGGATAAAATTTAGAGTTTTAAAGCTATGAAGAGTGATGTGCCCTCCTTCTAGGCATTAGAAGTTCAGTAAGTTCTAACAAACTGCATAAAAGAAAATAGAATGTGGTACATCATCTTGTGGAAGAACAGGTAAAATGGAAACATCTCTTTTAAATAGCGCAATTAGAAGAGAAAAGTGTAATATTTTGTTTCAGTTCACGCGTGACTGTAATAAAGAACCATTATCGATTACAACATTTAAATTTAAAGGATTTTTATACAATAAATGATAGCATCAATACTTTCTTTGTCGTATTCAGTGTCAGTTAATATATTCTAACACAATCTCAGACGAAAACACGAGAAAAAGTTCTATGATGTCCATGTACAATACTATAATCTCTGCTCCTGGCTCTCCCGCCCAAACTTCACTTCCGAGGTTTATTGATTGGTAGCGGTGTACAGCGGTGTACATAGAAAACAGATATATTCCCATCAAAGCCAGAAATATGACAATGAGCTTCAGAGGACGTCCTCGATCACTTTCGTTAAATGCTCCATTACGCTCACATTTTTTAATTTTTTTTTTCTTTTTGCTTTTTCTTCATTTTTGCATAAGTCTGTAAATATCTCAGGGTGACGCTATATTGGCACCTTACCCTACGTGTCGCAGCGAAGAAATTAAAGAAAACATACTGCCAATTAAAGATAAATTACGCTTCAAGAGAGTTTTGCGCATACGGGTGTTTTCTCACTGTATTTGGAGCGCGCTTCCTGATTTTTAGGGGATGTTATTTGGTATTATTATTATTATTATTATTATTATTATTATTATTATTATTATTATTATTATTATTATTTCATTTTCATTATCCACTCATGATCGATCGCGTTGAAGAACAAGTCCTTGAACCAAATATTCGTAAATTTGAATTTTTTATATTTGACTTCAGACAGCGACCTTCAAAACCTAGATAAACCAAAATACAAATAGTTTTTTTCCTTTTTGCAGAAGATAATAACAAGATGTCAGCCACATTGAATTAGCCGTCTTATTTTGACTTTACATTCCAAATGCATTGAAATCCATCTAGTTGTCAACATTCATTGTCTCATTCGACATCCATATTTATTTATCGTTTTCATGAATTTGCAGAAAAAAAAATGATTTGTCTTTCAATATTGGAAACGAATACAAAAATAAAAATTAAAATTAAAAAAGTACGACAGCCGATGAGACTGGCGTTGGCGAGTCCAAGACCATTACTTGCCAGCAAGGACAAAAACCCCCTCACTGCGATCATCTGCCACAGAAACGGAAGGGCAGACGGCAGACGCCTGCTCTGCGGCCTGCGCTCAGGAAGGAGTTCGGCACTCGTCCCAACTGAGCGGCCGGTTGGCCAGGGCGGAGGAGCGTGGGCGAATTCGCAGCGCCGCCGGCGGCGGCGGCGGCTGCTGTTGGAAGCGACCGAGGGCCCCGCCCCCGCGCCGATCATCCGCACTCGCCCACCCACGCCATCGCCCCACGGCAGCGCCCGCGGCGGGGGGGAGCGGTGTCATCCGCGACGCGGCGAGGGAGAGCCCCCGGCCCCGCCGCCAGCTCCAGCTCCACAACCGATGCTACGCTCCTCGCACCAAGCCCACACGTCGGGCGACCCGTGATGTACGTGGCAGACAACCCGTATGAGAGATTGACTTGTTGGTGCTTCCGGGTGCGTCAAGTGTTATGATCATTCGTCCCGTAAATGTAGTGCATGCCATCTCGGAATTTGACGGCGTTCCACTTCCGATTGAACGTGAGATCCGAGGCCGACCTACACTCGGCTTGCGGGATTTCTCTTTCGAGGTATCTCTCCCTGGTGTGGTCAAGACGTGACAAGCACTGGGCTAATGGTCCCCCGACACTTGTGCTAGTGAAGGACATGTGTGTGTGTGTGTGTATGTGACGAGGGAGATAGGGCAAACATTAGGAAAATATCGCATGGATTTCCATTTCCAATAGGTTGAAATACTGCTACGGATTTCGGAATTCATCGGACAAACCACAAAAATCTACCGATCAGAACAGGTGGCCGCTAGAATTATCCTACAGAGTAGCTCAATTCAATCTAGCTAACCAGTTTGTTCTGAAATTCCGCCACCCTAAGGAGTCCATTTGAACAACTCGAACCAGTGTCTGGACAGGGATGCTGCAGAGGCGACATCTATGATATAACTGAGCCATATCAATTAGCTACATCGGCTGCCTTCCATTTCTGGGTACCGGGGCTTAAACCCCGAAAGACTGATTTCGAATTTGTGTTGGATAAAGTATGTTAATGCAGGCTTTCTCGGTGTTTTCTCTATTTCACCATTGCTAAATGATCATTTCATAACATCATGATCTGTACCATCACCTATCTCGTGTAGAGCCGAAAAGGGTATTGACTAAGGGTCATAACAAGAGGTCATTCAAAATTTTGCATTTTTATTTCTTCCATTGTAACAACTTATAGCACTTATTAACGGATGGTCGCAGAAAAAAGTCCCAATACTCCCCCCAGACACACAAAAGCTCAATTCGAAAGATAAAAAAATTGACATTATTAAAAATTCCGTAACATTTCATTTACATTATTGAGTAAAAGTTCAAATTTAATAGAAAAAACATATTTTTTTATTATTTTTCCCATTTATTTCTATCGTCAAGTTAACATAATAATCATAGAAATTTTGTAAGAATGCTATCCCCTCGTTCGTTCTCACATTTTGTGTGAATCCATTCTACCTGAAAGTGAAAGTATTTTGTAGAATGATTCATAAAGAAGCACGCCCCATGTTCAAGGACTCATCCCTGCACTACATTCTCTACTTCCGCCATTTTCCACCTTCAAAACTGTAACTGTCCCCTCGCCCCTGTTTCACTGAAGCGCCTTTTCCTCCGCCCGCTCCGGTGCTTCCATGCCCTGAAAACCTCCGCCGCCAATCGCCAGCCCCGCCCCGCCGTGCCAGCCCACGTGTCTATCCCGCCCGCCCCGCCCAGCCCGCCCCCGTGCCGTCGTCTCAGCATCTTCCATCCCTTACTCCCTACCCACGGCCCCCTCCCGCTCCACCACCCCAAGTCCCATCTGGACCGCCTTCCCGCCCTGCCCGACCACTCCACTCCTGTCTCTCCCCGGTCACCTCACCACCTCCCCTCGGCTATGTCCTCTCCGCCTACCCGCCCCTACCCCTACCTGTCTCCTCTCTGTATCACTTCTCTCTATTACTCTCCTGTTTGTGTCCCCGCTTCCCGATCTCTGTCCCCACTCCATCTGCTCTCCTCTCTGTATCTGTCCGCTGCACGTTACTGAACCCTTTCCCCGAACCTGTCCCGCTCTCTCTTCCTCTTTTTATTCCCTGTTTCTCTATGTCCGCTGCCTTGTTCCCCGGCCGTGTCCCCGACATCGTCCCAGGCCCCCCCCCCCCCGCCCGCCCCGCCAATGTGCTCGTCTATCGCGGGCCCCGCGCGCTCTCCTCGGCCGAGAAGGGGACTTCGTCACGCCGCCGCCGTCGCCGCTCGCCGCGCCTCACCGCTTAACTGATCTCATTTCGAGAGCGCGGAGAGCGCGGAGGGAGGGGAGGTGGTGGGAGGGGAGGGGAGCGGGAGGGGCTCCGCGCGGTCGGGCTTTGCATGCGCGGGCGCGCTCGTCAGTGTCGGTAGCATCGCGGCGTGCGCCGGTCACACGCGAGTAGCTTCAGGCGGCGCGTGCGTACAGGCGAGGGCGACGTGCACAACGCCGGCGAGGACGGAAGAGGACGCGGCGGAGGCGCCCCGCGCTGCACCGGGGGACTGAGGACGCCGCGCTGGGCTGACGCCCGTCCTCACCATCGTGCCTGCCCTTCCCGCATCACACCGCGCGTGCCGGTCCAGGGCCCTGTAAGTGTGAAGCTGTGTTTTCGTAGATGATGGAGTGATCGAGAGTGCCCGTGTGTGTTTTTATGGTTTATCATGTGTTATCAGTGAATAAAATGCTTAAGTACTTGACCTCTAGTTTCTGGAAGACCAGGACTCAAAGAAATTGATTAATAATAACAATAACATAGGTTTGTCTGTCCAGTGTTGCCTTCGGCAGTGAGTCCCTTTGCAATTTGATTGAAGTTGCACATTGCAGGTTCCCTTCAATTTCATTGAAGTTGCACTTTCGTTGAAGTTGCACTTTGCAGGTTTGGGATGAATAAAAATTACTTCTTTCAGTATGTTCTCAAAAACTGAAACGCTGTGAACTTCTCCCCCTAGTAGTTCCGCATGATCAGGCCCTGTTTTGTAGCTTACAAAGACCAGAAAGTTTCGAAATTGTGTAAGTAGTTAAAAATCGCTAGAAGCATTGAGAATTCGCTAGTTACTATAGAATTTATAAAGATAATTTTTATTTTTCGTAAAAAGATATTTCTAGAAAGTGGCAGAGGAATATTTCTAAATGACAATGCATGATGAATAGAGAACATCTTTTAGAGTAAAATCTGCATTATAAACATTTTTTAGATGTGCAATTTGTTAGACTTTAACAAACGAACATAAGAGTTTCAGAAAGCAAAAATATCGAGAAATTTATTGATAATTTCCTTTTTGCGTGTTATTTTTTCATTACTTTTCTTTCCATGGTATTCAAAACTAGCCTTACCCTTAATACTTCGAAATTAGTTAGACACATAACAGCGGTCACTGGTCGTGTAGTGAAACAATGCAAACACCTCGTCACACAGCATTATTGAATCCACGTGATGAAAATGAGAGGACTAGGTTTGTTGTGCAGTGTCTCACAGTTACTTCGTTAATTTAATCGGCACCTTCCTTGTAGTTCGTTCGTCTACAAGAAGTTCACAATATCAAATTTTCATCTACAAGAAGTTGACAGTATCAAACTTTCGTACAAGATGAGCTTGACCTATTTTTGTAATGTTCATGTAAAATATAGAAACTGAAAAAATCCTGACATTTATGTCACGTCATTAATGACATTTATTTTAAATTGGGTGTAAATGTTTGTGGGTAAGGCGCTAACGTAGATATTGATCTGATCTTATACTAGTCTTACAAACTACTGTTTACATTTGAGGCTACTTACTTAAATTACGGTCATGTAGTTACACTTATAATTTATAAGTTTCTTATCACTTTCCGTTTAGTTATATTCGGGATTAGTCACATCAAATTATCTAATTATTAGGTATCATGCCTTAATTTGGCGGCTTTAATTGTTAATTATTGATATTTACGGCACATATTGTGCGAAAATAACAAATAACCCATTGCATAGTGGTATGTAGTGAATAACGCGTACTCAACATGCTATGCTTCAAGCCTGTACATTCACCGGAACACTTTTGAATTAATACAACGTGAGCAAATGTAAGTAACGCATCTGCAATCCAATTAAAATAAAAATTAAAAATGTTAATTGTACAATATTTATTCATATTTTTTATAAACAATTAGTGAATAGTCAGTTAATCGGAAGCTCTTTTAAGTTAGGCAATTTTCACCTACAGCTCGCAGTATTCCTACACATGAAACCCGCGCTGCGAATCTTTTGTGCAATGAAAAGAATCGACTCAAACTGATTTACCAATTAAGAAAGATGTTTTGTACAGTTTCAATTCTTCTTGGCAGTTTTTAATTTATCGATGTGCCGTCTATGATCATGTCAAATAATGAATATTATTTTTGTCTTTTTCTTTCTACGTTCCTGTATTTTGGATCTACTTTGAAGTCGAACGTTTGACATTTTTTAATGTCATTAGGTATCTTGATTTTCATTAGTCATTAGATAATGAATTGGATTTGCGTTTTAGACGTAGGAAAATGAATCTTCAATAAAACTTTATTTAATCTTATTATTCGCTTGTTTAGTTATACCATTTTTTTTTTTCGAAACGGCAATACTGCATTTGATCATAATAATTGGAATTTTCACAGTAAAAATCATAAATTTATGGTAGTATAAAGTAGTGCAGAAATACTATGGGGGGGGGCGGGAGTCAGAGATTAGTTTTTCAAAAATATCTACAGACGAAGTATGTGGAATCAAAAATGAGCAATGCACTAATACGTAAAAGGCCCCTTTGACGATGTTCGAATAATATGAATTGAATATTGATCACCTTTCGTAAAAACTCAGGGAAGTCTTAATGTTATATACCCTATTTCACTGAATTTTGAAAGCCAGTTGCAAAGATGTTTGGGCAATTCGTCATAATATATGGATACATAAATATAAATAATGGATTTCATATCTCCTGTAAAACTTTTTTGCAAAGTAGTTCGTGCTTGTTCCGTGGCATTAAACGGACGGTACTTATAATATTTTGAAATAGATTTATTTCGTTTCCACTCTCCTATTCATCCGGAAATCAGACTGAAGTTTCTTTTTAAATATTTTTATTCCCATTCATTTTGATGCATAGAAAATGGGGATCGTGGTACGCGTAACCTCGCAGTTCCGTTGTCCCTCAGAAGATGAGGCCAGCACGAGTCATAAGAGCGGCAGGAGTTGACGCTTTCAAGTCTGTTTACGTCAGCAGCCCTGCGACCTTGCGCTTCCTCTAGGAGGAGCGGGTGGAGTGGAGTGGAGTGGTGGGCGGAGGGAGTCGCCTCGCCAGACCAGGCAACACGCCGCTATCTACAAAGGAACCGGTTTTGAACCTCTGAAGGGCTCTGAAAGGCATCGTAGAGGTCAGTGACGTTGGAAAAGGGTAGAAAAACTGGTTTTGTAAAGGGTTAAATGAAAAACATTTTATCTACTGCATGCCTTACTTACACATTCTTTTGAACAAAATAGTTTGTATTAAAATAATAATGAAAATAAAATATAATGCTGGTGTTTGCGTACGGGTATATAGTTATAAATCCATTATTGAAGATTAGTGTAGTGAGAAGTCTCAGGTCCAGTTTACATGATGTGCTGACTTTCAACACCACCTAAATCATTTGGCCGAAATTGATCGCTCATCGGGTGAGAATTCTAGAGGCGGGCTGCACTGTTCGGTTCCGTGGTTGATTCCAATCCGATTCTCCCTTCCTCTGCATCTCCCTTTCCTCTGCATCTCCCTTTCCTCTGCATCTCCCTTTCCTCTGCATCTCCCTTTCCTCCCGATTCCCCGAATGTGCGCTTCTTACAAGGTGATTTTATATTTTAAAAAAATTCAAACTTTCATGTTTTTATTACACAAATCTTTCGAATATTTTAAACTCTCTATGTTCAAAATCCCGTGTTTTTTCGTGTTTTGATTGTTCGAGATTTTCTTTTTGTATTGTTTTAGGTTATAAATCATGGAACCCCACGAAATATGGCTCCTTGATGATTTTTGTGGATTTAAAGAACATACTGGAAATGTTATCTGATTTAATTCAAAGATTAAAGGCATTGCAGTTATCAAAGAGCATTTCAAGAATCATAATTCTAAAAATCTTACGATACATCCCACCGGATGTGTCAATATCTGCATGTGCCTTATTCGTTGAATTTCACCGTAATTAGCAAAATTTATTTTAATAACAATGTGCCACATACTAGACATAATGGGTAGATAAGTAGTTTAGTAGTAGTTCATCAGAATGCAATTTTATTCTGTGCTCGTCGTCTTATATTCTGTATTGGCTTAATTTGCGCTACTCTTAACAAAGGATCAATGACACCATGTACATCGGGCGTTCATTCAGTGTTTGCTTGACTTTTTTTATGGCAATGCAATTTAAAGAGTTACAAATTGAACCCCTAGACATTACATTAACGCACTAGCACTACTTCTCTAAAATCCGTTCTTCACTTGTCAAAAGTATATTTGTGTCAGATATAATGGAACCAAATTATCCAATACTTACAGGACATCTGAAGAATATTCTTCGCACACAGAACAATGAAATCAGTGCAAATTATTTGTAAATGATAATATACAACAAAAAGAAAAAAAATATTGAATTATACCACATCTTCTTAAATAGATGGAAAAGATTTCTTGCCTAACAGCACTGGACTATCAACTGTCTAAACTATTATTGAATTGATTATAATTATTTTTACAAATATCATAGTAAAATATTAATGGTGAATTGGAACAGATTTTTTTTTAAACTGAGACTCAACTCATTACTTTCGTTTTGAGAATTAGATGTAGCTTTTATCTCAACACTTCTAAATATTACGTGCTATCTACTTTTGTTTTATCATATAAAAGAGCAGCATCAAAAATAGTTTTTTGGCTCCTCTAAAATTGAATGAAATGAAAATTGTTACATATTCTTGAATACTAATAGCCAATCCAGAAATGATGAAATCTAGTGCGAGTCTTTTCAAGACTTGTTGTGATTTACGTTTCGGCATGTACAATGACACGTTCGAACGTAATATCTTGCATCATAGTTTCTTCAGTTAAGATACATTCGCAACGAACTCTGTATAGACTATGTACATGAAGTCGTAAAATGCGAGGCATGATTAGCCTACGGATTTAAAGGCAACTCTCTCTACATGCATACCCTCAGTTATTATCTACTGAACTAAAATCTTACATTTTTAATGTCTGTTGCCATAGGTGATATTTGTGTTTCAATACGACTTCTTGTAAGTATATTTAGCTTATCAGCACTTCATTAATCGATAAAAGATTGACGTATATTTACTACGTTTCCATACTGTTCGATACTTTTCGATGATCAAATTTCGAATTAAAATCTGAAAATAATCTCCAATAGAAGAACACTGACCCCACCAGATAATAATATACTAGAAATGAATAAAAATGCATCTGTGGTATGAATGGTCATGGCTCCGCAATAAGTTTTCCTCTCGAAAATATGCCGTTTTACTGCAGCATTATAATACTTTACGAGAAAGTAAAATGAATTATTTGGCGTTTTTGTGTTTTTATCAACTCGAGAAAAAAGGCAGTATTGTAAGACAAAACTTTTGTTGAAGAATAAAGATTTTTATATCCCGATTTTGTATACTTCGTATTAATGTGTTGTGTTACTGATAATACAGTGCATTCTAAATTGAAGTTATTTTATTTAATCTGCCACTTTGCATGATATTAATACTGTCCTCTACTGTATTTTGCCTTTATTTAGTTGTACCGGAAAGGTTGCCATCAAAAAGCTTTATTCTAAAAAAAGTTGCTAAGTTGAATCTACTTCGCCTTCTAATTCATTTCTAATCTAATTGATTTCTGCTTATGCAAATGTGAAGATAACTCTTTCACACTCCGACTAATCGATTAAACACTCGCTTTTAATTACGTGTGACCACTTATCACTCGCAATGAAATGTATCTGTATATGTAAATGACTGCATTATGAACCAACTACGGAGAGAATTGGTTTGTAAGGTCACTCACTCATCCACATCTTGAGCAAGAACTTTGAATTTCGTCAATATTGACTCTTGTTCTATCTTCCAATTTCTCACTGCGGCGTGATCTTCGGAAGGAAGTTGTGAAATATGTTTACGAGGCTCCACGAGATGAATGGACTTGCGGCGCAATCGCAAATGAGTTTTCTTCTGTTTTGACAGATGGGATAAGGAGTTAGATATTAGTGACGCGATAGTCTTGACACTTTCCCATTTTTGGAGATTCGGCGCTTTTGGCGTTATCGCTTTGTTTTTAAAGCTATAAACCACAACGTTCTTTCGTTGAAAACTATTGGGACAACGAAATTGCACAGTCTTTCTAACTATATTTGTAAAGGTTATGTACACTTGCGATAATTTTATTGCAACTTGTTTTATTATCGTAGGCGTGCGCAGAGGGGGGCATAGGAGCCTTGGCCTGTTTGAATATTTTCAAAGGGGCCCCATAGCCACATGGGATAAAACATTTTATTTCCGTAAATATTTTCAATCGCTAATTTTCCCCTTTTAACCTGATAGTTAGGATTTTTGTCATTTTTTCTTTAGTTTACCCTTGTCGATCTGCTGGTGGGTAACGGTCATTTTTATCAAACCAAAATATTGAAAGATATTTCTTTTATAAAAAAATATGTTGGGATAATCGTAAGCAACTAAGTCGCATTTTATCTGGTCTTAGAGTGTGACAAAAGGCTCACTTTATTCCTCTCGACAAGACGAATCAAGAAGCACTGTACTTACCACTTTTGCTTACCTGCAAGAATATTCTAGAATATTTCTAAAATAACACTTGGATTTTAGTTTCAATGCGCCTATTTTGGTAAAATTGGCTTTTTTGACATGAAATGTATAGTTACGACATAACATGAATAACGAGAATAAACCTAATTTTGTAATGAAACACATTTTTGTAATAAAATTGAGATTTTCTTTCAACTTCCTGTGCTTTAAGATCAGCAAGGCGGGAAAATGTGTTCTATTCAAACCTTCTAACGTGAACTAGTATTGCATAAATATTTTATAATTTGAAAATGCCCTCGAAAGGCTCCACGTTAAGCTAGTTATTACGGTATTACAAGAAGTAATACTGTTGTTGTTACCTGCTACACAAGAAAATTAAAGATTCATAACACAAAGAAAATAGTTTCAATCCTGGAATAATGAAAGCATTATATATAACAAATTGTTCTGCATCTCCACGATTGTATTGTTAAATTTGAGCAACTGGAGTATGAAAGATACTGCCTGAAATAACTTCTATTTTAAGTATATTCTAGCCAATTTTTTTTTGGTTAGGACGTACCCATTAGCAAAGATAAAAACGAACAGAATTGCTGTGAAGTCGCATTGTTATCAGGTGCTGTTGAAACATGCCGACGTGAGCAAAATGGTTTATTCTAATTGAACGGCCGAGGCACAAATTTGGGGAAAATGTTACAGACGAGTTTCTAAAGGAATTTGTTTGCTTTACAAGTGTTACAATTATGCTTGATAGCCACCTTATATTTCATTCTTACCGAAGCAGATCTTGCTCAAGTAATTTATCACGTATTAGTTGACGAGCGGATTAGAAGAAAATTTCGCCTACTTTATTAGAATACGCTCTATTCTTTATATCACCTGCATAATTCAGATGTGTTGGTAAAAAGACACCCAAGTACAATGACACGTAATTTCATTATCAGAAATATTACGTTAATCTATCGCTGACTTCTCCTCCTCCTCGGTTAAAATGACTACATTTCGTTACTTTGTCAATGGCCTGCAAGAGTAAATATACCGATTTTTGAGAGAGAGAAAAAGCAGCATGTGTCCTAACCACGAAAATTCTCCTTTTTTCTTTTCTCCTTTCCCTTCCCTCCTTTCCTGAATATATATATATATATATATATATATATATATATATATATATATATATATATATATATTTATAATATATTTATAATATATTTTCCTACAAATATTGATTTGGAGGATTACATTGCACTTAATCTGTTGAGACAATAGCAGTATTATTTCGTCCAACTACGAAGGGTTATAATGAAGTCATTAAAGTACATATGTCAAAATGAATCTTACAAAACATCAACATGACTGCACTTTTCAAATTTCAGCGTATGATTATAAGATCCTTTTAGCTACTTAATAAACGATAATTGTATTTTAGAACGAACACTGCAATAATGGCCAAACACTTCGTCACTTTCGAACTTAGGTGACTGCGGAAGTTCTTACGCGGGCGAACAGTGTTTGTAACAGAGTGTGGAACATTCGTTTGAATTAATAACAATCTTCATAATACGAATGATGATGGAGAGTATGATGTTGAAAAAGTAAGTAATGGTCATAATATAAATTACGTGTACTATGGAAATGTAATTATATGGAGACGGAATTCATGAAGTTTTAAAATCTAAATCGTAATTATAATCGTAATTATATTTTTTAAATTACAAACGTCTCTGCCAAGTTCCAAATTTTAGGCATTTGTGTGATTGAAGAGATAAATCAACTTGAAGTGAAACACGCGACAATTAACAAATACGAGACACAAGCTTACTTTGTCCGCACAAAAGTCTAGGGCGGGAAGTAAACGAGACAGAACCCGGAGGCAAACGACCAGCCTGGTGACTGCGCCTCGTGTTAAGGTAGATCTAAGAATAAACAACAGAGGAGCCGGTGAGTTGAAACGAGGGAAGCGAAAGTCTGCGAGGCGGGAAGTGCGGAGAAGAAGGAAAGAAAAAAAAAAGCTTCTCAGAAGCGCTGGCGTCTGGCTGCGCGGCGCTTGCTTATTTTGGAGGCAAGACGGCGCCACCGCCACACGCGGGCCGGACTCCGCGCGTCCGCCCTGGCACCGCCGCAAGGGCACGTAAACCGCCTGGAAATGTTGACGGAGGCCGAAAACCTACCGCGTGCGATGGCAAAATCTGGGTTCTAGCCGGACGAATGTGAAAA